ATTCCTTGTGTGTCCAATCACACTTGGCCAATAAAGAATTCTATTCTTGTTACTCTAAATTCTTTGCTTCTACCTTTCCCAGCTTTGGTCTCTTTTTCGGAACACCAAGTCTTCACATAATGGATCCAAAGTAGAATCAGAAAATTTCCAGAAGTATTTTTTTTTGTAACATAATCTCCTACTGGATTTGCACATTTGTCACCTCTGAAGGTTAATTAATTTATACATCATTCAACCGTGGCGGATCTTTAATCTCTACAGATAAAATAGAATAGACGCCCCTGTGCATGTAAAGAAAGAGCCACTTGCAGAAATTAAGCCGCAAGAAATCAGGGTGGGGTGATATTTAATCTTATGATCCTACTGCTACTTAGCTTGATATGGATTGTGGATCTGTGCATTTGACAATAAGAACCAAAGAGCTAAGTGTCTCTTTGAATGTGTGTTATTCTTTTGCACATATTAATATTTCTTTTAACCCATCCCTGTCCTTAAGATCCTGTAGCTTAAAGAAGATAGAGCAAACACAAATGAGACAGAATTTCTCCCAATGTTCCCTTGTAGGCCAGCAATTAAAAATAACTCATAAACCCTGACATAGTTGAAAATACTTTAGATTAGCAAACGGTGGTCAGCTCTGATCTTGCTTCCATTGACTTGGCTGCATATTCATTTCAAGGTTCAGTTTGAAGAACCTGTCTTATCTTGTAAAGCTCCAAGACGATCTTGCTCTTGATTTCATTAAACTAGCTAGCAATAGCACTTAGACTTATATACCACTTCACGGTGCTTTACAGCCCTTTCTAAGCAGTTTACAGAGTCAGCCTCTTGCCCCCAACAATTTGGGTCCTCATTTGACCCACTTCGGAAGGATGGAAGGCTGAGTCAACCTTGAGCCTGGTGAGAGTTGAACTGCCAAATTGCAGACAGCCGGCAGGCAGCAGAAGTAGCCTGCAGTACTGCACTCTGACCACCGTGCCACGGCAGCTCATAAAGCTAGAAGATAGAAGAACTGTAAAAGTTTATTTCAATAGCTTGTAAAATCATGCATTTGATTTTATAACTGTTCTTATACCGATGGTTGTTTTACACCAATTCATTTTCTAGTTGTATTGACTCAGCATTGATGTCAAGTCCTTTAAATCAAGGGTCCCCAAACCCCTAATCCATGGACTGGCACTAGTCCCTGGCATGCCACCAACCAGGCTGTGCAAACAAGCAAAGCCCCCTCCGCAGCCTGGTTGGTGGCGTGAAAAACCATTTCCCCCTCTGTTCCACGAAAAAAAAAACTTTCTCCATGGAATCTGTCCCTGGTGCTCAGAAGGTTAGGCACCGCTGTTCTAAATGCTGTGTATTAAAATTAAATGATTGTTTAAGGGTCGAAGGTATCTTGGGGTTTCAAGAATCAGAAGATTAAACCAGAGGTTTGAAATTTTTCAGCAATGGAGAGTTTTTATATTTCCACCCACCCACCACCCACCAAAATGGTATCAGTAGAGTTGTAAGTGAGAGTTGTTTGGAGAACAGCAACGGTCTCTCTTCATTTTCATGTTCCTGCAGCCGGGGTGGGCTGCTACTGGTTCGCACTGGTTCAGGTGAATCGGATGATAGTTTTACATCCAGTTCACTGAACCAGTAGTTGCAATGCCTGGCTGGCCTCGCCCAGTCTACCCCTTCCCACCCAGGAATCTCCATGCAGCTCACGGGCCCATTTCCAGCCTCCAGAGGGCCTCCAGAGCCCCGGGAGGGTGAAAACACCCCCCCCCCCCCAATGGTGCAGGAGGCCGACTAGGCCACACCCACCATGGCCACACCCACCCAGCAGAGAACCAGTTGCTAAATTTTTTGAAGCCCACCCCTGCCATATGCATCTGTCACAGCGAATGCAGCACCCCGTCAGCCTCGGTTGAGCTTGGTGAAGCTAAGCAGGGTCAGCCTTGATCAGCACTTGGATGGGAAATCTAGGATTGTATTGGGAAGCTACAAATATAAATTTGGAAGAAAGCAGCCGCAGCAAACCAACTTGTATGCCGTTGTTCAAGGTTACATGTCTCCATGAAGTCACTAGAAGTTGATCTTGACTCCAGGAGAGCTTTCGACTCTTCTTTCAACTCTGCCACTCTCAAGGAGAGAAGGGCACACCTAGTTTCCGTTTTGAAATATGGAATAGGAAGAGGCACAAAAAAGAAGAGCAGGCAGAACTAGCGGGGGGATGAGTTAAGCATGTTATAAGCTTAGAGTCGTTACATTGCCACAAATGGTCCAAGCCCAACCCCTCCTGAATTCCGTTGACCTTTATCTGGTACCAGTTGAGTATTGAACTATAATTGAACAAATTCTTGTGTATAGAATAAATCTGGGCTGCAATCTAACAGGTGGTTCTGATTCTTAGCACTCGACAGCACATATCTATACTCCCCCCTATAGGGTTGGAGTCTGTTCTTTATTTACAAGGGAGAGATCATGGGGGTACAACTGAGACTTCTATACCAAGCAAATCTGGTATCTGGAAGGAAGAACAAATTTCACTCCCCCCCCCCCCAGCTGTATTCCATTCATTTCAACCATGGAGATCGGGGTCCCCAAACTTGGCAACTTTAAGACTTGTGGACTTCAACTCCCAAAATTCTCCAGCCAGCTGCCAAGTTTGGGGGCCTCTGATGGAGATCAATAGAAGACTTGGATCTCTCCTAACTCCATAACTTCCTCCTGGATTTGCTATATTGGGGGCAGATCTCTGGCGCTTTGTGCTGCTCTTGAACAACCAAGTTGTAAGTTCAGCTTGTTGTAGTCCATCTATAGGAAAGGGTAGGAGCTTGAGAAAGCATATTCAGTCCCAGAATATTTAGAATTTTCATTGCTTTGAATCATGCACTCTTTTCAGAGACCACTTCATATCAAAGAAGTCTATCTAGCAATGCATAGGTTTGGCCAAACACTATAAACTCTATAAATTCAAGTGGATAAATTCTGGTCCCTATATTTCCTTCTTTTCATTACATTGTATTTTCTTTCCTTCTTTTTTCTTTCTTTCTCTTTTGATCTCTCTTTCTTTCTCTCTTTCTCTCTTTCTCTCTTTCTTTTCCTTCCTTTCCTCCTTTCTCTCTCTCTATTCTTTCTTTGTTTCTTTTCCTTCCTTCCTTCCTTCCTTCCTTCCTTCCTTCCTTCCTGTTTCTCTCTTTCTCATTCAATTTTTCTTTCTTTCTCTTTCTGTTTCTTTTTTCCCTTCCCTCCTCTCTCTGTCTCTCTCTCTGTGTTTTTCTTTTTCTTTCTCTTTGTTTCTGTTTCTGTTTCTATTTCTTTTTCTTTCTTTCTTTCTTTCTTTCTTTCTTTCTTTCTTTCTTTCTTTCTTTCCTTCCTTCTTTCCTTCCTTCCTTCCTTCCTTCCTTCCTTCCTTCCTTCCTTCCTTCCTTCCTTCTTTCTTTCTTTCTTTCTTTCTTTCTTTCTTTCTTTCTTTCTTTCTTTC